AGATTTAGCATGAGTATTGAAGATGTGCTTAGACACATCATGAAGGATGTCAATCCTAATTGCATTAACACATTTAGAAAGGAGACCATAGGGACATAGCTGACTTTTTCTGCCACATGGGGTCACAGTGAGAAATTGTCTTTCTCTTCAGAAATCAGTTTTCACCAGGTACCATAATCTTCCAATGCCAAAATCTCATTTAACCCCCAGGACAAGAAATAATGAGAAATAAATCACTGTTGTTTTAATCTTCTCAGTGTGAGGTATATTACAAATAAAATGTCACCATCCCAACTTGCTTATTTAAAGATAGATACTAAATACTGACCTTATAGAAAATTTTGTAACTTTGACTCAGAAGCCAGATTGTACATTTTAAACTATATACTTCACTATGAGCAATGAAAAAAGCTTATAAAAAGAGATTTATGCTTGAGTTTAGACAAGAATGCATTGATGGGTCCTGAGTTGTCATGAATTAGAAAGTGAGGAACTAGTCATATAAACAGCATTGTTATCCACAATAGCTAAGACATGAAAGCATTAAATGACCATCAACAGATGAATGGATAAGAAAGTGGACTCTATGTGCAATGGAGTAGAAATGCTTCTCAAATTATCACGCAATTATCTCACATATCTATTATAAATTTAAGATAAGCTAAAATGCACTTACTATACCAAACCTACCAAACACTATAGTAACAGCATAGCACACTGTGGAAGACAAATATATTACCCTTATAATTGATTATTCATTTAGGATTACACCTAAGTTTTACATTGATACACAAGAGAAAATCAAAGTTTAAAGTCTGAGGTCCTGAAAGTGTATTAATTCATACGTTCTAAAATATGATCATAAGTTCAAGAGACATGGTGTCTCATGTATACTTAACAGTTGCTTCAGACTGATAGTAAATGATTGTACCATAAAAGTAGGACTGACAACATTGCTCAGTGAACAAAATTGCCTGCTGTCAAACTTGAGAAGCCAAGTCAGATCACTGTAAATCATATGGTGAAAGGATGGAACTGATATCCACAAGTTGTTTTCTGACCTCCAGAAGCACCCTCCACACCCTGCTATAAAATAGACACATTAAAAGTATAAAAACCTTTAAATAATTTTATCAAGATAATTAATGTGAGTTAACATATATTAGGTAACTTGATTTAGCCATTCTGTAATGTATACATAAATAAAACCATATATCCATAAATACAGTTTTGGAAAATGGATGGTTTTTGCAAAAGGAGATAAATAATGTTGAAGGTAAGTCTAAAACATACTGAGCCTGTTTGAAGTAGTCCCTCTTGGTTAAGTATGAGGCATTTTTGAATATGATTAAGTAATAATATTTATACACTCTAGCTTTTGAGTAAAATGGTGTTTTACAGTTTAATATCTATGTAAATGAATACACAAATGCTTATCACAATAGAAGGCAAAATACAAAATGTAGAAAGAATGATGGGGTTAGGGAACCTCACATTACTAACCTTGGTTGTAAAATTTGATGAGGAATGAGATATTAACCTGATCTCGTGGAATTTTCTGACAAATAATTAAACCAGAAGAAAATATTACCTCTGTAGTTAAGAAATGACATGGACACTATCCAACACATGGGGAGAAAGTTAATATCAAACGATGGAGGCAAAGCAAGTGCCCATGTTTTGATATAATACAGTGAAAAGCTTATCAGTGAAACGCTTGGTATTCCTGCCAAGAACGGACATTTGGAATTTAAAAGGATAAAAATACCAAACAAGTATAAATTAGGGACCTTCTATCTGATTACCTATATGATAGTGAAAATAATGATAGGACTCTCAAGATTAAGGGCAATAAAGTTTACTGCAGGTTCGTCGTCATTGCTCAGAGTCAGATATCTGACACAAGCAACCTGTATGCGGGACTGAGTTCGGTGGCGGGGTCCCAAACACCGAAGCCCAGTGACAGCTCTGCCTCCAACTGCCGGCAACCTGGCACGCCCAAACACTGCCAACACCCGGGGAACAGTGACACCTCCATCCACTAGAAGAGGACTGACATCAGAGTATTGGATCTGTTTGCATCTACCAGAAGAGAACCTTGGTCCCACACCCATCAGGAGAACAAGAAATTCTTGCCACACCCACCTACGAGAAGAAAGGATGAGAAGAGGACAAGGTAAAAGCACATCCAACAACAGAAAACCCAATAAGACACCACCAGAGACTAGGAACCATACACCAGTAAGACCTGAACATCACGATGCAGATGAACCAGAAGAGAATGACCTTAAAAGCATCTTCATGAAGATGATAGAAGACCTCAAAGAGGACATGAGAAAATCCCTTAAATAAATGGAAGAAAAAAACATAAAAAATTCAAGTTATCAACAAATTTTAAAACCCAATAAGACACCACCAGAGACTAGGAACCATACACCAGTAAGACCTGAACATCACGATGCAGATGAACCAGAAGAGAATGACCTTAAAAGCATCTTCATGAAGATGATAGAAGACCTCAAAGAGGACATGAGAAAATCCCTTAAATAAATGGAAGAAAAAAACATAAAAAATTCAAGTTATCAACAAATCTTTCAAGGAAACAGTTCAAGACATAAAAACTTTAATAGAGACAATAAGGAAAACACACTCTGAGGAAATGCTGGAAATAGAAAAACTGGAAAAACAATTAGGAACTACAGATGCAAGTATAACCAACAGAATAGAAGAGATGGAAGAAAGAATCTCAGGAGTTGAAGATACACTAGGAGAAATAGACTCATCTACCAAAGAAAATCTTAAGTCAAACAAATCCCTAACCCAAAATATCCAGGAAATATGGGATACCATGAAAAGA